GAGACTAATCTCGGCAGAAGCACTAATGATAACAAAAGTTAAGCTGATAAAAGGAGCAGGTAAAAGGTTTCGAATAATTATAAGACATGCAATGAACCACAAGTTCTTAAGAGAAGTCCACACATAAGACTTATCAAGAAAACATTTAGAATACTGACTTTACAAAAGGCAAGAGATATTGAACTACACTATTTCTGGAAGGATACAAGATGATGAAATGAAATGTCACAATAAAATTTAGCTAAATGTAGTTAAATTTTGAGTGCTATGTACAACGTAATAATAGCTATAGTCAAATACATGATTAATAATGATAACAAAGCATTTATATATACTTGATTTGATAATATGAAATTTTATACAAACTGTAAGTGAGGATGATGGAGATGATGTTGAAAAGCCTTTTTATAAAAGAAATAATTCTATATAGAATAGAATATAAAGATGTAATATCATTGGATGATTTCAGGATGATGTAATGAAATGCCATAATATAAATTTACTTCAAATTTAATATGCTTCATATAAAAAGAATGTAATTATAGCTATGCTTAATGCAATTTTAACAATTATAATAATCTGCATAAATGTATATTAGATTGATGATACTAATAATGGAAAAAACATGGCATTGAAAATTATTAGAGAATGTTATTAATGCTAAAATAATAGAATGAGTTAGAATAGGATTCAAAACATTCTTATTGGATATATTGAAGATGATATAATGAATCATTATAATATAAATGGATACATATTTAGAATACCTTGTTTTAAATGGTGAAACAATAGTGATAATTAAACAAATGAAGTACAATAATGTATACAAAGATATTTGATTGACAATAAGTGGTTTTTGAAAAAGCTCAAGCAATGACTATGGAAAGGATGGAGAAAATTTTTATAACCAATCGACACACTGTATGTAGTTGAAGAGGTTTTTTATGTTATATGTTTTGCGTGTTTGTTTGAAAATAAAAATTTTTTTTTAAAAAAGTTACATATAGAAACCATCATTAATTGCCACGACTATCTCTTCAAAAATGATGCAAGTAAATTTGTATCAAATAAACCTAAAACTTTAGTTAAGGGAGGAGGTTTTGAGTCAGGCATAATTACTGATACATTTTGTTCAAATGCTCAAAACGTACCTCTAGTGCACTGGTTTAAGGAAGTGGTATGTAGCCATTTATCTGAGGCAATACTATTGTGTATTCCTGGTTGTCCTATTGAAAGAGAGGTAAGCGCTTAGGCTTAGTGCCATATTTTTATATTCCAGAAGTGTAGAAAGGAAAACCAAAATAAGGATGTTATACATAGAAATCTGTTGGTTTTTTAAAAAGTATATGAAGCTTTTGACCAAATCAAGATTTTAATCTGCACACTAAGTGGTAGTTATATGAGAATTAAGAACTAAAAGCATTGGAGAATGCTTGGATCTATATGAAAGAGTGGTATAGTGTTTCTACACTGTAAGCAGTTAGAATTCATGTTTTTCCATTCAGTGAATGAGGGTGTTCCTTCTTTTTGAAACATATTGATGTCATTATCAATATCTTTTGCTGCTGTTCTGCAAGCAATGAAATTATACGGAATGTGTTGAAATCAGACAAACACTGAATTGGGATTTGTAATTTTGTACTGTTATGAAAAAGTGTGAAGCTTAGATATTGTCAAATTTAATATTTTATAGACTAATCTGGAACATGATGTGTATGAACGACTCACCTCCTTACAAGAAGGCATTATCCCCAAGAAAAAGGCAGCAACTGATGATGATTTGCATCAAATAAATGAATTGATACAGGTGAGTTTGCTAATTTCTTTGGCTTCTTCTGTAGCTGCAGAATAAAGCCTTCATTTTTTAGAGGAAACAACTGTGTAAAAGAAAGGTAATCAATACAATATGTGAATTGAAGATTTTCATTTGGTTCCTTTTTTTCTTAGCAAACTGATTTAATTCATATTTCCTGAACTGTAAATCAAAACTGAACATCTTTTGGATAAATAAATGTTTAATATCTGAAAAACAAAGCTGCATGTACTCAACCGAAAAATCATAAAAAATAATTTGATATTATCAAGTTTGTTTTTTTAGGCCCTGATATTAGAACCTGTTATCAACCCATTTAAAATTATTTCTTTTATCAAACAATATTGCATTCAAAGCATGGCATTACATAATACAGTCCATAAATTTGTGTATGCTAAACTATTACATAGTTTTTGTGCTATACATTTACATTCTGAAGGCCACCCTTTCCCCTTTCTGGTGTCCATTTCTTGTTAAACACAGTTGAATCTTTAAAATAAGAAAGGGAATCTTTTTCAACTGAAGTTCCCTAGGCTCTGCATAAATACATCTGAAACTTCATTTTAGTGAAAAGCAGAGTGGGAAAGAGGATGTGGAGTTGGGGAACAAAAGTAAGGTGTTGGCATGTGGCTCCCTATACAATATCTGTCATTATTTACCTTGTTATCATTTATCTCACTTTTGTTGTGTGCAATTTCACATTTTCTATAGGGACCAGTTGTATTAAAAAAGAACTGGGGAGGCATGTACATTAAAACATTGTTCTGAATGGTCCCTTCTAATATGCTATAATAATACTTCCGAGTTCTTCAGTTACTTTTTGGTGTTTCAAGATGATTGAAGATAAAATGCAGTACTTAGAAGTATTAATATTTTAAAAATTCAATGGGTTATATTTGTTATATTTCAGGGAAATATGCAGAGATGTAAACTTGTAATGGATCAAATAAATGAGGCTCGAGAATCCATGCTAAAGGTCTTGGACCACAAAGAGCGCGTTCTGAAGCTCCTTAACAAAAATGGAACTGTCAAGAAGGTATCCAAATTGAAGAGAAAAGAAAAGGTTTAGAAACAAAACTAAAAGGACTGAAAACAAAATATGTACAGAACAGTGTTAAGGTTCTTTTGTTGGAGGTTTCTTGTAAGAAGCAACATTTACATAAAAAAAGACGAGAAACATGGAACCCAGTGACCTTAAGAGACTATTAATAATCTGTCAATGGAACAAAGATTTTTCTCAGGGTCGTCCCTGTTTAAACTCTTTAGTCTCATTTTGTTTAGCTTTCTTGATATGTCCCAGTGCCTACTAATTGGAACCATTGACGCAGGTGTGATAGTCCCCTTCCTTTCATCTTACAGTTTTAGACATTACTTCACTGATTTGTACAATGGATTCCTGCAACAGACCTCAAGAGCCACCTGTCTTGAAGCAAACTGTCATAAATTGGAAAAATTTGGGGAGATGACACTACTTCCACTAAGCCCTGCCCATTCAAGCTCCTTGCAGTGGCTGAAGCAGCCTTCATAAACCAGTGTCCTTGCACTGGCAATTCTGCTATGTTTAGAATCATAAGTGGTTCTGCAGTCTCTAGCTGTCTATTTTTAAAATACATTTCAAAGTTATTTGTAGTGTTGTGAATTTTGTGCTGTGCCCATGTTGGTGCTCCAGGATATTGTTTTCAACTACAGCACAGTTCTTTCTGTAGCTGGTGTGATGCTGTTCATTATATTGCATAAAATTGTGCTATATAACATCTGAAAACGTAAATAAAGGATTTGGAAGATTTTGTATAAGAATAATGGTTATAATTGTGTGGGAAAATGAAAATGGCAAAGAGAAGAACCTGTATTAAGATATATATTTTCCTTCCAAGCTGTTAAGGACAGTGATAATCCATCAAGATTACAGGTAATTTGATTTTTAGAACCAATGGTTCTTTTAATCCAATCTTATAATTATTATGCTAAAATAAGATAAAATAAACAAAAATATCCAGATTGTATAAATTTGTCATTTTGACAGAAACAATAAGAATCCAAACTTTACAGAAATTCTGCTCTTATTTATTTCAACTAGGATTTCACAGAATAAGAAAATTATGCACTAAACAGAGTTCAGTTTAATATGTATGTGTGGTTTTATCAGAGTTTCCCATTATGCTCATGATCCAGTCTCATCAAGGTAATCCAAGATTATCATTCTCTACATCTGTATTTCACTCTTCTTAAACTTCAGGTTGCTCCAATTTTTAGCAGTCGGAAAGAGAGACCAATCCACAAAACCCCCAAGCAAACACAATTCTTACTATTTCTAATTTATTTACCAATAACATTGAATATCAGACAAGAAAAGTAACATCAAAATGGACATATGAAAAATGTTTATTTTGATAATAAAATGTCAACTTCTACTGAAAAGATTAGCAAGCCCCACAAATCAGTGAGGCCGCAATATCTTTATGGCTCTGGAAACTTCTACAATTTCAAATCCAAATATTGAGAGCACTGTGTAGATTCATAATATAAAATTTTTATGGCACTTTGACATCATTTAAAACCTTCCCCCTCTTAAGCTCATAAAACAGAACATTCTCTAAGGCAACCCTACCTGCTATGGAACATGCTGTTGTTCAATATGTTAAATGTTAATGTTAAATATGACTCCCTATTACCAATAATATGCCTGCCCTCATTGTTGCAGATTCAAAACTATAAAGCTAACGAAGACTTTTGAAAATGGAACAATTTAAGTACTACATTATTCTCTTACACAATTCTAGTGTTCTACTTATAAAACAATTGCACTTTTGCAAGCTGAGTTAGGAAAGCAACTTAAAGAATAGATTTTCAAGGACCCCAAGTATGTGGTAGATTTATTGTAGCAAAATTAACAAAGATGCCATTCCACAAAAATTCCAATGACTGCTCTATAATAAATGCAAACTCTAATAGAATAAAAGTTCAAATTCTTGCGCCTCTTATTTCCTGCCTGCATGATGTAAAGTTTAAGTACCACTCTTGCACAAGATGGGTATGGTGACAGTTAAAAGTTGAGGTACAGCTTATGTATGTATTTATTTCTGTGCAAATATTTACAGAGCTATTTTAAAACACAGGCTATATGAATTAGTGTAGAAAATACCATACAAACATATAATAAAATCCAGAAGCTACAAGGACAATTGTAAAACAAGAACTTTAAACTGAGGATTTCCTCTATGTACAAGCTTTCTCAATTAACAATGAACAGCACATGAATACCCTTTTTATATGCTCTCAGCTGGAGTCAACGTACAATAAATCTGATGAATTCTATAGCATGCTACCCATCTCTACAGCTTAAGAATACTTATATTCTAGGGCAGCATCAAGGGTTCCTTGATATCTTTTTAATGTGAAATCAAAAACTAATTTGATTTCACAATTTTTATGTAAAAGAAAATTAAAACTAATAATTTTGCATTTCCATATCTTCCTAATTCTAATAAGCAACTAAATTTATCAAAAATGTCTTAAATTCAAGTAATTCTGCAAAGGTACTAAGAGTCTGGTCTGCAAACAAATGTCACTAGATTCAAAATATTTTTTTCTATGTGACAGTGCAATTCTATGCACTTAGAAACAATATTCTATATGATTCAGTAGAATTTTATACATAAAATCAGACTTTTTAAGGCTTGATCTATATTTGCTTGCTCACAAGTGACTCAATGAATTCATCTGATTTAAAAATATATAAAGGACTGTGTTGTTAGTAACTTACAGTCCTTCATATTTTGAGAGCCTTATAAATCTAATAGAGTAATAATTATATTATTAAAGAGGATCAGATCTAATAAGTACTGAGATGATTAATCACAAATCACACCCATACTGATGTCAAGAAAAAAAGAAAAGACATAGCCATATATCCACTAGCAGTCAACCTGGGAAATCTTTGCTCTATTTTTCTAACACAATAATGATTTTTCATCATCCCCACAGGTACCATTAGCAAATCTGAAGTGAAGTCACAATTTGGAAGGACTTGCTAACAGAAGCATCTATGAGAATTTTATCCTAGAGCAAGACCAACTTTTTGTTGAATTTTGGGTCTGGGCAAAAGCCTAATGCACAGCCATACCCCTTTCTTGCAAAACTGCACTAATCTTGCCAGACAAGGGCAAGCCAGTTGCAGATAGATTCAATTCTGCTGGGGGGAAAGGAAGGATTTCTATGCCATTCATGAAAAAAACAACTTTTAGCCATGCTGTCCCAACCTTCTAGGTGGTAGATAATATATGCCCATTTCAAAAGTGGAAGGGGCGCTTTCAAAGTACAAGAACCCCAGTGAGACAATAGATTCTGCCCACTAGTCGGGCCTGTAGATGACCCTGCTGGATCATTTCCCAATTTAAATTAAACTAGGTGTCCAGCTCTCCCTCTCCTGGCCAGTATTCCCTATTTTTTTTGTCAGGTTAAGCTTTAATCCTGCAAGTCAACTTGCAGCCTTAGCCACAGTCCAGCCTTGAACTTTAGGGCCAAGATTAAGGATACAGCAAATTATTTGGAGAGAAGCCTACTAGACTCTGCACATATTGAAAGGAAGTGAATTTATTTCCTTCCCATTGTCATATGTTTAGTCAGGTAGACAGGCTTCAAAGGAGGATGAAATGCTTCTGAGACAGAAAGCAGTTCCTAAAGAAGGAAAAATTTACATGGAGGGGGAACGGGGAAGATGACTGACTGACCTGTGGATTGTCCCCAGAAACCTCAGTTTGTCCCAAAATCCTTACTCCCAGGAGCAGAGTTGCAAGAATAGCAAGATGTCTTCTACAGAAATACACAGGAGATATAAAATGCATGAAAAAAAATATATGATGGCTTTTTGCAGCCTATGAATGTTTTACTCTATTTTCCAAAATTGCCTCTTGAATCAGGATGCCTAATTTTATCTTGTGTTCTAGTATGTTGTGGTTTCACTCAAAACCGCCAGCTTTACGTCATTTTGTCAAATAGGAGAACTGGTTATGGGAATTGCTACCCTTACCTACAGCAATCAAGCTTTACTATTTATCATTTTAGGTGGTCTTAGCAATGCAAACTCTGAAAACCCCTTAAAATGCTGTGCCACAAACATCTGCAATAGATTTTGTCTGCTCTACAATTCAATCTGCCAATACAATTATATTTGTCATTTAAATCTGCAGCCTTAAGCATACTTACTAAAGGAAGTTTCTATGAGTTCAGCTGAATGTGCATCTCAGTAAAAATGTGCAGTATTGTCAGCCCCTTCATGAAAATAGATGATTTAATTATCTGAAAAAATACACTTACTTAGTCCTTATGTAATCAAATTTATCTTGAATCTTTAAATAATGATTTTAAAATTTAAAGCGCAGACATGCTAACAAAGATGTGCTCTGTCATAGAAAGTTTTTCCAATTGTATACCGTATTTTCACGACCAAAAGCCGCACCGGATTAAAAGCCGCAGTATCAATTAACGTTAATTTTTCTAACTTTTTCCACATATAAAGCGCACCGGGTTATAAGCCGCAC